AAAATATATATTCTAAAGTTTGATTTTCATCTAGAAATATCAGTATTTAGATCATATCAAATATCTTAACAAATTAATTATATAACAGTATGAAGCTGCTGCATATTCCCTTAAGCCTCAGTGGATACTGTAACAGCAATGATAGACCTGCTATAATAATACGACACAACACTTTTTGTCCCATTGATGACTCTCACAGCTATTCTATCCTAACATCCACATTGTGTTACTTCCTCTATCTCACCGTTGTTCCAGTGATAGTGGTCAATTTTATCCAAAACTGAAGAAGATGATGGAGAAGAGTGGTATGAGAATTGATGGTGTGGATTTAGAGGTTGGAGTTGTGAAGCGCACACACTCACACTTAGAAGTACACAGTGTAGAGAAACATGTACTTACCCTCCAGTGCATATTTCATGTCCTGAGCGAAGAGATTCCACATCACCTCAGCGCTGACTTTACCGACATTGAGTTCCTGAGGAAACCTAAAATTGGTCAGAAAGGAGAAGCATAAGCTGTTTATCTCATCATGCATGCAAGCATATGAGGAATGACAATTGATTTGTGGAACTTTAAGTCCTTTTGAGTCTTCAGTGCTTCTTTTAGTTTCTGTGGCTTCATTTTGCATTTGTACTAGAATAACTCTTAGGGAATTCAGGGTTCCACTGACCAGGACAGGGTACTTTCCTATCACTTCATTGTTTTGTTTATTTATTAACTCCTTATATTTTAGCACTGACAAGTTCCCCTAATATTAGAATGTGAGTCATTTTACATTATTAAAGAAAATGGAGCAACACACCAGTTTTAAGCCTTCAGAATGTGGAAGTGAGTGTATCATTGTCAGTGCAGGCAGCTTAGCATAACATAAATGATGCAGCTATTGCTCCAATATTAGGTTTGCACTTATACCGCCTCTACACATACTCAGTATAGATGGGGTGAGAAGCTCATGCTGCACTAGGACTGCACAATATGACCAAAATTATATCACAAATTATTTCTTAGGTTTAGTTGATACAACACAATCCTGATATCGATATTCACAAAAAAACAGCCTCATAAAGTCTGCCAAGAGTTACCATGAGAGATGGAAACTTATGACAATTCTTTTTGCTATGTTTATAAAAGTTCTCCAATTAAACTCTATAGAATAATCTGTAAATTTTAAAAAACATAAAAAAAATTAACCAAGCCACAATGTATGAAGCGTAAAATTCTTTAACCACGGACTCTAAGTTGCACTAAAGTATCAGGAAAAATCACTCCCATTATACTGAGTCATATAGTTAGACCATACATGCTCAGTCAAATGTACATTAAGCCCATAAGCAGCAAATATTTACTTCCTGTGACATATTTCCTACTTCACTGAAATACAAAATATGCAATTATGGGACAAAGGTTTTAGTGGTCATATTTTCAGCTAGAGTTCTATTGTTCACAAAGTTTCTGCTTTACCTAAGGATTACTGTATTGGTTGGAGATATCTATGATTTTCATAAAGTCTCCATTGAAAAAAGCTTAAACCCCACATCTCACAAATGGATGGAGGATTATCTGCACCTTCCTTTTTGCTGCTTCACTGAACCACTTTTCTAATGATAAATTTAACAAAATATTACTGCAGACATTAAGTTTCAAAAATGAAACTACAGTTAGAAATTTAAACTAAAATCATATGTTGGAGTTTAATAAATTTTCTGGACTAGAAAACGACGATTTTGGGAGTAATATGTGTGTATTTATGTATATATGTGAAAAAAGTACAATTTGCTTGCATTAACTTTTCTAAATTAGTACCTGAAAGCTGAAGTCAAAACAAATAATTCACTGTTTTGACAAATGGTCTTTGCAGGTTCATCAACCTACTCTCTTGGAAAATCTTAAAAAATAACTATACAGGTGTGCTCCAAAACCTGTTGTTTGTGATTACCATCTTTGGTTATCAATCCATATTTTAAAGGCAAAGTAATAATAAAACTTATTTTTACGTTAAAGGACTTGCAATTGAATCTAAATGCCCAAAATCATATTAATAAAATGCATAAATATCTTAAAATAAATTTCAGAGTTCAGTACTGGTTAATGATGGGCGTATATGAGTTCTTGTCTTCCTCGATGATGGACACAATAAGCGTGATGAGTTTAGGCCAAAAGTCCAGATTCTGGATGCTCGGGCCTTGTTCTTCTGGCTGACTCTCTTCTTTCTTCTCCTCTTCCTCCTCCTCTTCCTCTTCCTCTTCTTCTTCACTATCATCTCCTTCTCCCTCAGCTTTTTCTTTCTTTTTCTTTATCTTCTTCTTTTCCTGCTCAGGCTGTTATGGAGTAAAGAGACAAAATAAAAAAAGGCAATGAAAGAATTCTGTTCTGATGTGTCGCATCTCTTAGAAACTGACTGGGAAAAAAAGATGCTCTCATGAATACGTCATTTTTCACAAAGAAGCATCTGCATCAAACACTAAATACAAAATAAATACACAAAAAAACTTTAAAAAGCTCATAAATAAGCTTAAACAAGACTTTAAGATCAATATTGAAGATATGAGAATTGTGGGTAGTTTATACAAAAAAGGAGAAAATAAAACAGCATCCCACACATTAATAGGCAAATCTTTCAAAGCACAGTAATAAAATATTCAAAGATGCTGATGGTGACTCTTATTAGTCCATTACTTTGTGCAGCATGTGCTGTCAGTGAGAATCAGTTTGGAACACATCTTCACATAATGTTCCTTTCTTAGCTTTAGGAACACTAAAATACATCAGAAACATTTTAAAAACCTTTGAGGATCATATAAGTTTTTTATTTTGTCTGTAGTTTTAAACTGAGTATAGAAGATGGAACCAAAATAACAAATTAAAGACAGGATTAGATGCTATTGCAGCAGTTGTCTCTATTTCCTCCCCATTCAAACTCAAAGGTAGAGAAAAACAACTATAAATGATCAATTGACCTAAAATTATTTTTAATTTTTGTTCATTTTCTGAAATACTAATACATGTGATTGCAATCAAAAATGATATATGGTTATCTTACATGAATTATTAATTATAATAATGCAAAATGGTAATGGTAATGATAAGAGAAGTAATTTTTATTGTTATTAGGAATTTGAGCATGATCCATTATGTAATAATTACTAGAAATACTAATAACAATGCTACTGATGCTATCAGATTGTTATTTTAATGTTGTAATATTAATCTTCAATATTCAAAATAACCATAACAAGCATTACATTTTATACCACAATAACAAAATGACTTAAATGAATAGAAAGGCTGAAAACAAAATTCAGAATAATCAATTTACTAAACTGTTTAAAATTAATCTGGAAACTACAGTTAATAAAAATGAGCACAAATAATAAAAAGAAAAGCTAAAATAAAAAGTAACTCCTTTTTTAGTCGGTTCAACTTAGATTAATTTATTGTGTTTAAAAATATTATTCTTACTGATTTTTTTTTTACAGTATGTATTTTCATTTTGACAGCTCTGGTCCTCCAAACAACGATCTGGGTCAGCTATTGTATTAATTTGATATGATGTCATGATCTGGCCTGTTTGCTCTCCCTTAATTAGTCATTCCTTTCACCTGTTGTCTTTCCCCCCCTGCCTCAATTAGAATTTATTCCTCTCACCTGTTTCCTCTGGTTTATATTCAGTTCAGCCTGAGCATTCAGTGCCAGATCATTGCCTGTCTTTCTGTCAGCCTGTTCTGTTAATTTTATTTCCTTTGGTTCATGTCCTGGATCCTAGCAGCCAGTGGATAGAGGGTTTTAGTGTTTGTCTTGTCTCCTGACTGTCCACTGTTCCTCCCCTGTGGAGTCCTCTGGGTTTTTGGCTCATTATGGGGGGAGGTTCAGTTTTTATCAAAGTAAGCCTGGCTCCAGGGAGGAGACCAGTTGAAAGTCATGCTTCAAGTTCCGGTTCCTACGTCCTGTCTCGGCTACCCTCTTCCACTGTGCCTGCCTGTCTGCACCTGATCCTGTCTGCTCCTGTGCGTGACCACCTGGTCATGCTTCTGGTCCCAGTCAGACTCTGAACCCTCCTGGAAGCCTGTGGATGCCTGGAAGTCTGGATCCTACCACCTGTCTCTGTTCCTGCCTGTTCTGGATCCTGCCTGTTTCTGTTCTTGATCCCTCACCAGGATCATCTTCCAGCATAACCTCTGGGACTGCAATACTGGGTCCATCTGTCCTCATTCATGACATATGATTGGTCAGCTGAAAAGTTGATGTTTTTTATTTGATCTGACTAAATAGGTTATTTTCTTAACAACCTTTTATGAACTGTAGAAACTTCAAAACTTACCTCCTGAATTGCAGGTTGAAACTGGCGATTAAAGAGATCTAAACAGTTGTTGAAGATGTACTCGTAGGTGGAGTTCAGACAGGCTTTGACACAATCCCGCACCACGTTGGCTGCTCTGGGCGGACTCGGCAGCTCCAACACCTGAATGTGAGCAGACAGTGAGTGGGAGGACCGGGAGCAGTAAACAGAACCAACCAGGAAATGTCCGGCCAGCTGATACAGAATGGACAGCATGTTAATAAAGAAATCAAAAATGCTGTTACTAAACTATAAGGATACCCTGAAAAACATTGCAAGAAAGTGCTGCAAAATAACCTGAAGAGCTGAAAAATGAATTCTTAGTGAAAATAGTATTCAGAGCTAAAAATGAAAACTTAAGATAAAAACGATAAAGTTTAGATGATGTAAAAAATGTAAAATACTTTATCATGCCTTGTGACTTTAGACAATGAATTTTATTTCATTTTTTTTTCAGTTTTTCAGAGTATATCAACTACCTGGCAGGTATTTAAATGAAAGCATAAAAATTCGTTTTTTCACCTTCATCCGGAAGAAGGTGATGCTGGTAAGAAGATCTACGGTTGATTTCAGGTCATTGAGACGGGCCTTGTTGCTGGCTGGGAAGTTATTCTGCATGCAGACATGGACAAACAAGGAGAAAAAAAGGTTTAAAAACTTAAAACTGACCTACGTTAATAGGCAAGAGGTAACACAATTGCAATTAAATGTTACACAATAACTCTCTCTGAGGATACATTAAAGTGTACATTTTCATTTATGTTCCTTTTGAAGACAATAAGAAACCGCCAGAGACAGAGGAAGAAAATAATACCTTTTATACAGATTATTTAAAATCAATGAACTCTCCCCCAGTATCATCTGTAAAATTGGCTCCCTGTATTACATCAAAATTTCACATTTTCATAATGAGCTGGAAGCTTCCACTCACTCTGTACATAGAGAGGTCGATTCTTAAGGAGTTGTGCAGCTGATCCAGGAGCTTTACAAAACGATCCCGCTGTTGGGGGAAAGAACAGACCAATCACATTCAATGATTCTTACAGAAAAATGTTGCAGGATTGCAAAAACAGAATCTACATCGAGTCTTTCAAACATAAATAAAAAGTAAAAGTAAAACTACTTAAAGTATAAAAGTAAAAGTAATGCAGGACAAAAATGTTAAGGATAGATGCTTTATTGCTCTACCCTTTAAGGAACATCTTTCTGCAATTCTTAAACTTGATTTTCATAATTTTATAACTAATGGCAACAGTGTTAAATTTAACCTTGCATCATCTTTACAAACTCTTTATTTTGGTATGTGGTGAAGAACAAGTTGGTGCATTACCGAGTCCAACTGCAAAGATATTCATAGTCTGGATAAAACAAATTATTTTGATGGTTTTTACTTTTTCTAATTACCAACAGGCCATAACGAAAATCAGCTTAAATGAAAACAAACTAACGATTCTATTTTTAAAATGAAAGTAGTAAAAAGTAGAGATAATTGCTAAACAAAATATGTGAGGAGTAGAAGTAAAAATTCTGTAAAAAATAATTACTCCAGTAAAGCATGAAATTTCTACTTAAACAAGGTATTTGTACCTTACTTGACACCTCTTTTTAAACTCCATCTGGAGTTTAAATGACCTAGAAAAGAGGGACCAGAATAGGTCATTTTGTTTAGGGTCACAAACATTGACATTGGCTGATTGAGTTAAATACAAAAGGCCAATAATTATGTTCAGGGAAAGGAACCCTTTTCTTCAAGGCAATATCTGAAAAAGTGTTTCAGAAGAGGTGGTTATAATTTTAGAGACAAACCTAGAAAAACACGTGAACAGCAAATTTTGCCCCAAATTGTGATTTTCACCTATAGCTAAAACTGGCACATGAACTGAAACATTACCAAATTTTACATGAAATGCATCCAGAGGGTTTCAATTGATCCTGCTATCAAACAACATTCCCTTTTCTTGTGTTTTTGTCTTTAATAAAATATGTCATGCCTTTTTGAGTCCGATACGGAGGCTTGGTAGAACAAGCAGTTCCCGAATAAGCCCCATTCTCACAATGTTAGAGACTCTTTAAAAAAGGATCCTGTATCCTGATTAACAGTGGGAAACCTCTGATAAAACTTTCTTTAAAATCTGTTATTAACTTTTATAGTTATTCTGTACCCAGACAGACAAACACTTCAATATTTGCAGTAATAATTTAAAAACAACAAAAATTCTTCTTGTACTGACAAAATGACCTTGTGTTTTTCAATTTGTGAATGTGGATGCATCACTTCGCAAAATATAAATAGATAAAAAAAAAAAAGATATGACTTGGGATATTCATAGCTGAGGATGGTTGTTTTTTTAATATTTGGTCCTTGTTATTTTCTGTCACATGGGAACCAATCGTTGGCAGTTATTCTAATGCATCTTTTAGTGTAAATTCATATTGAGATGTAAATGATTTGGGAATGTATATGTATCAAATATCAGTGGGGATTAATAAATCTTTTCACCTGCCTACTCCTTTTTTAAAAATCTATTAAGTATTGTTCTTGCTTTGTTTTGGCCTAGTTTATATCCCTGTTGTAATTTAAACAGATGAATGATGATCTTCTGATGCACCTTAACCAGCTGCCTAAGTGCCGTTATATATAACTAATGTGCATTATTGTTGGACTGTTATTGCCTTTGTTTTTTTACACACAGTTCTTCGATTGCCCGTCTCTTGAAAACAGTTGAGTAGCTGAATCTGTATTAAAAAAAAAAACAAGAGAAGGGGAGTTCCAGAATCCTCTAACTCTATGAAAAAAGGCAGAGCAGCTCTCTCAGCTGAAATAGGGCCAGTAGTGATATCCCCAATGCTTATTTTTATCCCTTTTCCTGCACAAGCATTGGCTACACAAATGTATCTACATGGCATGGGAAAAAAGCAACCTGCAGTTAGCAGGAAGCGTTATCTGCCATAGAAGGAGTCACGACTTGGATAACAGATTGAGGAAACCACATTGGGTTTTATCTGATGATGGTTTGAAACCTGGATCCACTCTCACTGAAGTTAGCTGATTAAAAACTAAATATGGAAAAGATCCTTCAAAGATTTCCAAAATGGTGCATTTGATTATGTGAGCATTGAAGACTATATTTGATGTCTCCCTTCTTTTTGCCCCATAGGAAAGTAAGCTGCAAACCGTGCACTTGATGGCTGTGTTTCTGTGCATGAAAATCAAACCAGAGTTGAACAAAAACCTGGAATTAAAATATTGTTTAAAGACACAAAAACAGAATCATCCTTAGAGCTTTTGTTTTTATTTTTGACTTGTTCCTGGCGATCTGAGAATCCCAGGGAGGCAGGGATGGCACAAAGAGATAATGGTGGTGCTTAAGGAAGCAGAGGCACAGAGCATGCAGTCCGGCTTTGTGACTCACGACAGTCACGACAAAAGAAAACGAAGGAACAATGAGAAGGAACAGCAACACCAACTTACACAACTTGCATGGAAAAGTTGCAAGCTAACCTAAAATGCACAGATCCTCCAAACATTTGTATTATTCCATGCCAAGCTACAATGCTTTACTAAATTCATGATAAAGAAAGACAAAAACAAACAACTAAACAATATGAATCTGTCATGCTTTTTAAAAGAGGATAATTTTAAATTAACCTTTAATGCTCCCCCTGTAACTAAACACTTTCAAACCTTAATTCCAATAATCCAAACATAATTTCTCTTTGCAACTGAATCAAAACACCTCAACTGGCATAAAATATGTACTGTAGCTCAAACAGATGTGCTCATTTTTTCCACGAGTAAGCTGCCACATCTGCACAGACAGTACATGCACTGCAAAAAACAAACACTTTCTGACTAAATTCTGGTCATTTCAGATCAGTTGTTACTATTTCTATAAAAAAAAATGATTACAGGTCAGTGGGAATGAAGACTGGACTGAGACTAAATTGGAAACCTTTAATTTACATATGAACCACTGATCTGTCAGATAAACTGTATCAATAATATACCGGTAAAGGAAACAGCCAGATTTCCTGCTCCTTCATATCAAAAGGAGCCAGTTGAGGAGGCTGGACATCTCAGGGAGTCCTTTGAATACTTTCTGAGGAAAGGGATTCAAACATGTCTCACTAGAAGAGGCTCTAAGGCAGATCTGTCAACCCCTTAGAAATGAATCAATGTCTGATCTCTGTTGATGCTGTTGCTACATGATCTACTCCAAGATGTATTTATAGATACCATCAATGAGGGAAAAATGTGTTCAACTTTTAAAGGAAATAAGCAAACATTCAAAAACCAATAATGTAGATGCTGGTTAAAGACTGACATATTTTATTCCTCAGACTTTGGACTGATTGATGTAAATGTTAGATTTGTAACAAAAAACAAGAACAAAAAACAGTAAACTGGTTAAGTAAGGCTTTATGATACAGCTTAAATAATCCCCATCTTGAAAATTAATCCTCAGAAGGAGACAAACAGGAAGAAAACGTCCCGATTGACAAATTTAATTCAGTTCAGACAAAGCAGAGACCATATGTTATCATATAACCATAAACACATCCCTCTGGGATTATTGTAATTTCCCTCTAGGATTATTAAAGTATGTCTGATTCTGATTAATCTGCCCTTGTGCAATAATAAAAATACTATGAATAATAACTAAATAAGAAACTGATTCTTAAAAATTGGGTCTTAGATTTTTTTTCTCCACTAAAGCAGTTTTTGGCTTTGTTAGAAAAAACATTGAAACATTGTTGGGGAAAAATATCCTCTGCATATTATTAATAACAGAGAGAATATAGGATATATTATGCCGAACTTGTTCTGTCTGAAACAGAAACAAAGAGTCCAGAGCAGGAAATACTATCTTAAATAAGAAGCAGAAGGAGAGAAGTATTACAAAATCTATTAGAAAAGCTGAACACAACCATTAAATGAGATGGGACTGAAAGACTGAAAAAAAAAACACATCACTGCTGTCTGTAAAATTTTCTGAAATGAAAAAGAAGATTTTTTTTGTCTTGAAATAAAATGATTATTACATTAAATTAAATATGTAGCTTGGTTACTAGATGTGAGCACATCTTCAACCTTTGTAACTCCAATGTGAAACCTCCTGTATGGCTCACCTAAAAAGCCCTTCTGAAAGTGGTGGAAAGAGAAAAAGCTGGTTGGTAAGTGTGCATAACCATATTGCCCTGGTGGGGGTAACTTGCAAAAGATCCAACATCCAGAGTTTGATCAAGCGCTTAATGGTATGCAGCCTGTTGATAAAGTTTCGCCTTCATTAAAAAACAAACAAAACAGATTTACATAAAGAAAGATAACCCAGAGCATGAGGTTTTGAGGTTTTCTCATCAGGCTTGGATACTTTTTAAGGAAGAAAATATGTCCATCTGTTAAGAATGAAAAAAAAATGAAACTATCTTAAACTATCTGCCTATTTTGCATTTCAGCCCTCACCTATGGTCATGAGAGATTGATAACAGCTGAAAGAATCAGATTCACACTACAAGTGACTGGGGAAAAAACTCCTCTGTAGGACTGCCTGACACACCCTGAGGAGTCGGGTGAGAAGTTCTGTCAATTTGGGCGAGCTGGGAGCTTTTCAGAGGGAGTTGGCTGACAAGTTGGGTAATTAACAGTGATCCCAGCCATATGTTCCTCAGATGTATACAAATCCCTTTATGTGTGGGGCTCATTTGCAGCAATGAACTGATTTCCCAATTTATTTAGATCTACAACTGAACCTGAGCTGCTGCAGGGGAACCACCTGTGAATAAATATGGTTTTGTAAAGAGAAAGCATTTTCCTCTAATATAAGGGCAACCTATTTGTGATGTGCAAAAGGGTCTCTAAAATGTTATGGCACGCTGGCACGATTCACAGGATTCCTTTACATTATTCCAATAATAATAATTTTGTTCCATGCATGATGGTGGCTTTTAGGTATTTTTAACTATTTGCTAATCTAAGCTGCTGCTAGATGGCGCACAATAATGTTTAAGTGAACTCATTCAGGATGAACTCTTTTTATTTGAGGATAAATGTAGGTTTTTTTTTACAGTCATGGTATATGACTTGGCCTCTTGAGGGGTAGCTGCGAGAAAACATATACATAAAGTTTCATACATGTGAACTTTTATCTGAGCAGCAGGTGTCTCAATTTCACCCAACTGCAAACCTTTAGTATGAAAGATGTTCACTGTTTCCATCAGGCTCCTTTTGTTTTCTATTTTAAGGACCCATCCACAGGAAGACAAGCTCAGGCCAAAACACAAGTATGCTTCATCAAACCCCTGTGTGATCCACATGTGTGATGATCCTGGCACTGGAGCTGACTCTATCTCCTATTATCACTCTGGTTCAGTCTCCATCCCCATTGCAATCATCTCTACTGGTTTCACCTGTCACCACCTGCATATAAGCTCCGTCCTCATGAGTCTCCAGTGCCAGATAGTTTTAAGCCAACCCGGTGAGAACCTTCCAGCCTTATTTCTGAAAACCTGTCTGTTGCCTGCCTACCTGCCTTCCTGCCTGATCATACCGGAGATACATACCTGGATCTGAAACTGAACAAACCTGCTGAAATCCCCTCTGCTTATCAGCTGAATGTCTGAATCAATATCTGGACACACTACCTGTTCCTGGCTGGTCCTCAGAGCCTGAACCCCGTGTGAAATCAGGTTAGTCCATCAGACAGTTTCTACTGAAACCTGCCAGAGCCGCCTCTAACCTGTCCCTCTGTCTCCAGGTCATATCAGTCAGCACACAGAAGCTGAACGCCCGAGAGTCGGCGTCTCTATCACCTGTGTTCTCAATAAACTTCTTAAATTGTCACTGACCTGTTGTGATGAATCTTGGGTCCGCATCCGGCCCATTACAATGAGGCTGGCATTTGGGAGTCTGTGAATTAATGTTTTTGATACTAGGTCCCAGAATGACAATATTTTAACTTCCATGTTTCCAGACTTTCCGCCTCTCTGAATCTGTAATCGGCCAGAGGTGTCAAAAGTATTCATGTTTATTACTAACATAGATACATAAATCCGTTTTAAAACAATTTTTTTAGAAGTTAGAGTATCAACTTAAGCTTTTTTTGAAGTAAAAGAGCAAAAGTACCAATTTTAAAACTAATTAAAGTATTAAAGTAAAAGTAATGCAGGAAAAAATGCAAAGGACAGATGCTTATACTGCACTACTCTATCAAAGGGTACAATTCTTAATGATAACTTCCTTATATGTCAAATTTAACTTTGCATCATCTTTAAAAACAATTTATTTTGGTATGTGGCAAACAACAAGTTGGGGCAGGACTGAGTCCAACCACAAAGAAATTAAATATGTGAATGAAACAACTAATTTTTATGATTTTTTTTTTTTACAGGTCATAACGAAAATGAGCTTAAATTAAACAAAACTAAAGCAGAGATAATGGCAAAAAAAAATTAAGGAATAGAAGTAAAAACTCCAGTAAAGTATAGGTAGCCAAAAGTTCTACTTTAATAAGGTAACAAAGTATTTGTACTTGTTACTTGACACCCCTGTAATCGGCCAACTTCAAACAAACACACATTTGCGGCACTCAGAAAACAACAGCACCAATAGAGCCATACGGCATTGTGCACATGCCCAATTCCCTATTGCGTCACAGCGCCACCTACAGGTCTGGCATAGTTTGATTGCATTTTCAATCGTACTAAGTACATTCATGTAGCAGCAGACATTTACTAAGCTGACTTATTCTTATGGACATCATTTCTGAAATTATACAGGAAATTATAAGTGTTTTCTCTTGTTTTTGTGTGGATGTAGCCTTAATCTCTTTGGATTTATTATGTCTTGAATGGCTGAGAGCCTTTCACAGAGTAAGAGAGGTTTTCTAAGGCAATTGACCTATTGGAGGTTACTTTCTCAATTCCTTGGCAAACAAACTTCACTATTCGGCAGAGGGAGGTAAAAATAAATACTGGTTGTAGAAAGCAATGCTTTTTTTATATATATATATATACATTTTGCTAAATAAACTTTCTTATCTTTTAGAATCTATACTAAAGCTGAGTAAGTAATGGCAACACTTGCTGAGCAAGCACACAAGAGTTTTGGATCATTTCATTATTTTATTCACTGCAAGAGACTCTGCCAGCAGACGTTTTAAACGTTATGATTCTTTCTGCCTTTGGGCATACACAGAAGCTGTGATATATTTTCAGGTTTCAGAGAACACACTTTTTCATGAAAGCATTCTTGCATGGTTCCTGACTGCTTCATGAACATAAAGTTTTCTTCTTCTAGCATCGATTTCAGATTTTCCCTCTGATTTGCTATTTCAGTTCCCTGCAGCTGAAAAGCTCTTTATGTTGGTCTGTAAAGTTATTCAAATTGAAAATTCACTTCATGAAAAAGGAGATCTTTAACAAAATCGCTTTACTTAATAGCCTTTAAAGCTTTCAGATTTAACAATTTTAACATAAACATCCCATTTAACTATTCTAAATTATTCTTAAACAATTCTCTACCAACCTTTTTGTTTTTTTTTTCCCTTTAGAAAACACATCAATGGTTGATTTACTGACAAACATGAGTCTGGATTTATTTGCTAAATAAACTATTGGGATATTTTTTTTTACAAACAGTGTTTATATTTTCTATGAGTTTCAATCCATTTTCATGAAAATGGTGAAGCTTTTTAGTAAACGAGAGAGAAAGCTGATACTTGGGGCTGTAGCTAATCTATAAATTTCATACTTATTTTAAAGTACTTACTAGAGTTTACCGCCAATAAATCATTAAATAGAGACTGAAAAGAAACAACTCACTGAAATGTCAGTGAAAAAGATTCAATTCAGGAAATGAGGCAAACCAACTAACCAAGCCACTCTATGGTGCTTTTTACTGATCTGACACCCCAGAAATAGACCTACACCATTGCTCATAATGAGTATGGACCTGTCTGAATCCTCTGACCCGTTAAAGCAGAAGCTTTGTGTCCACAGCTGCTCTGACGTTATTAGAGAGCAACCAAGCAGGAGAAGAGAAATCTGCACAACAGGCAGAAATCCCAGGATCCATTAAGTACGGCCTCTGGCAGTCCGAGTTACCATCCCATCAATGTTGTCATCGTTGGTTCCAAAAATGGCCACGGGTCCAATCTAGAGCTACAGACAGGTCAGACCTCTTCCAATGTCACACATGATGTCACAGTCTAATGATAAACAACAGACTCCATAATACCTACTGGACCATATATAGATATCCACGTCCATAACCTAAATTAAAGTTATCCTATAAGTTCTTGTGTGTGAAGAAGTTTTCCTTATTAAGTTTACAGAAATTTGGCTTACAATCGTTAATACCATCTATACAGACATGATTTTGATTCTAAAAGGGCATCATTTTCAGATGCTTTTGATGTCTTATTCTTATTTCTTTAACTTATAAACTATAAACTGCATGCTTGCATATGTATTGATACTCCTAGAGTGCCATTTGTTAGATTACATGTCTCTAATATGGGGAGTGTTGGCCTAGTGGTTAGAGCGGTGCGCTTGTGCACTAAGAAAGTTGCAAGTACCCGGTTTGATCCCCCAATTTGGGTCCCTGAGCTAAAGACCCTTAACCCCACACTGCTCCCCAGGCACCACACAATGGCAGCCCACTACTCCCCAAAGGGGATGGGTTAGATGCAGAGAGTTCATTTCTCCACTGTCACATCAATAAAGTTCAATTTCTGTCTTTTTTTTTATTATTTTTGTGTATCCAGTAGAGCCGAACTCTCTGTCTCCTTGAAATAATATCTGACTAAATGAAGAGCAGTTTTAAAGTCTAGCTGAAGACTAATCCCATTTCTAACATAGCGTATATATTGTGTTTTAAACTCTTTCATTATATTTTAGCAGCTTTCTGGTCATCATAAATGCAAGCATCAAACTAAATCTTCTGAAATATAACAGTTTTTTTTCTTTTTTTTTTTTTTACCAATTTATCTTAAAATATAAAACAAACTTTTATTGATTTCAAACTTTGGACCAAAAATGATTTAAACAGTTCTCACGTTAAGCAGCAGCTAGTTTTCTTTTTTATAAGATATTTGATTCCTGGCCTTTTATTACAACCTACAGAATGGTTTTTCTAATTTAAAATCTCTAAAAATATTATGTAAATATTCCACCTAATTGACAGTTTGACTCTCTGCCCCATGAGTAAAAAATGAAAACCGATTTGTTTGGTTTCGCTGTGACTGTCGGTCACTCACCCCAAAGTTGGAAGCAGCAAATCTTGCAGGAGCGGAGACATTTGTGGAGGCAATGGGGTGGGCGTAGAAGGCATTGATGTTGGCCAGCAGGGTGCTCATCACTGCCGGCACTCCTGACAGCATGTATTTAGATGACAGGCAAGAAAAATGTCTGAAGGGGGGGAAAGGAGAAGAAGATTAAAATATGTAATCTTTTTTTCAAGGGCATTGATGAGGCTACTCTAAAAATACAGCTCTGGCAACCAGATAGGTTATAAGCCTCTTTTGGTTCATCTGGTCAAGAAGTAAGGACTTAACTGAAATAAACCAATAAAGAAAAGCAGAGTCTGTGTAATGGGTTGCTATGGGGATTTGTCTGCAAAGCATCCATCATGTATTAAAGAAAGTTTAAACCTCAAACATAAACTGTCTGTCCAAAATGAATGTCCAGTCTTAAAAAAGACTTAAGAAACCTGAGTGGCAAAAAACCTCTCAAGGCCACATTGGTCAGCTTAGGTTTGTTTAAGACAGGGGCGGGCAAACTGTGGCCCTGCAGCCATTTGAGGGCTGTGGAAATTTTATTTTTGTCCCCCAACCACATTTAAAAAACAGCACAAATTTTAACTTCCAATAAAGTTTAGCAACACTTTACAATAACCATTATAACATCATTTATAAATAGTAAATTGACAATTTATTAATGCTTTATAGATAGTTTATTAATGTTTGATTCATTTATAAACTGATGCTAAACCATTCACAAAAGGTACAGGCACATCAGTGGGCTTAATACCTTAATAAATTAACTATTTACCTTTTATAGATGGTTAAGATGCAGATTATAAATAACTCAGATATTAATAAAATATCTGTTAATTCTACTTTGTGTCTTGAACATATTGCATGTTGAAGTTATTGCTGTGCAAAGAAATAAAATGAAAAATAATTGAGCATTAAAACACGGAAGGAGAGGATGTGAAGTGACTTTAAAGGGTTTAATGGTTGTTGAGGCTAAACTACTGACCAACTAAGATTATTAGGCATCTCTTAGGCTACGTTTACACTGCAGGCCTTAATTCTGCAATTTCGCAACTGCATTTATACAACTTAAGTATCCTGCATGCACAGCAGAGGACGCATTGACGTCACAAGCAAGTGTGC